ATTTAACTTTTTTAGATTTTTCTACCTGGATTATTGAGCAGCATCAGGAATCTGTTTGAAGAGTTTCAGTCAGGGTTTAGAGCTCACCACAGCACTGAAACAGCACTAGTAAAAGTAACTAATGATATTCTCATGGCCTCAGACAATGGACTTGTGTCTATACTAGTCCTGTTAGACCTCAGTGCTGCATTTGATCCAGTTGATCACAATATTTTACTACAGAGAATTGAATATGATGTTGGGATTACAGTAACAGCTCTAAAATGGTTTAAATCATATCTATCTGATAGATTCCAGTTTGTAAATGTAAATAATTCAATTCAATTCTAAAATACTTTATTAATCCCAGAGGGAAATTAAATGTAGTAACTCGTTATCCTCATTTCATTAAGAGATGATATAGATGCTGATGCCGTAGACAGGAAGGATCTCTTGTAAAGGTCCATCCCACAGTGGATCCTAAGAAACTGGCTGCAGATGCCGTTCAATCCGTCCACCCAGACTCGGCTGGCCTCTTGGTTCACCCGGGCTGTAGGACCTCCTGAATGCAGAGCAGAACTCCTCCCACAGCGATGGCCACTCCTCCCAGCAGTCTGCCGAGCTCCTCGTCGCTGCAGACAGACAGCTGTAGGAGCCGAGGGACGATCCTGTCCTTCTGCTGTCATGAGCCGTGTTTCCTGCTGGTTCCAGGATCTCAGTGGTCAGGCACTCGATCACAGCTGGCAGGTAGATGAGAATGCATCCACAGAACATCCTTTTCAACTCATTTAATATTTGGGGCTGTAGTTGAGATATTATTTGAGCTTTTGAGATGTTAATCAGCTGCTGGTTGTAGAAAACTGCCTTGTTGCCATGGTTACGCATCATAACAAATGTCCAAAACTAAAAAACAGTTTCAGTAAAAATCCTTCCAGCTGCACAGCATCTGATACCAGAGGAAACAATCATCCAAAAAATGAGATTTACATCCAGAAAAAGAGGAATTAAAGTTTCCAGAAGCAGAATCTCAGAATGAAAGTAGAGCTGCTCCAACATGCAGACACCTGGAGCGGAGCAGTTCTAGAACATGACACTCTCTCACCAGTTTTCTCCTCCAGATGTTCCAGACACTGAGAACGGTCCCGTGTTGGGCCTGGACTGCTTGTTGTCAGGAGGATGCACGTTATTTTATTTAAACCTTTAGATGTTAGATCTGATGGAGACAGTAGACATCTTTGTTTCAAGATGGACCGGGTCAGCATGACGCTACAGCAGCTCACAACACATGAGCCGTCATTAAACCAGAGTTATT